GGTGCTTATGGTTTCAAGCAAAGAAGTGAGTAAATTCAAGTATGCCGTAGTAGTCTTGTCTTCATATAGTTTTCATCACAAGGTATAGGGAAGGTAGACTGAATTATTTATTCTTGCCCTTGTGTATGAGAACTTTCTTCAGGCATTACTTCTAGGATTGTTAATTATGATCTGCAGTCGCAAAAGATGATCCTTTAATAGTGAAGTTGGTCATTGTATTCATTTTTTTACACGTGGTTTTCTGAAGGGGAGAGCTTGAAGTGTGGGGGAAAAATGATCTCATGACTGTAAAGACCAAAGGGAAATGAAATAGGTGATTGACAAAGAAAATAAGGTAATCGTGCACTTTTCTGGTGTTGTCTTGGATAACGTTGCTCACAGCTTGTTCTGTTTTATCTACTACTTATGCATAATGAAGAGTGACTTTATTTGATGTAATAAATTTTTTTTTCTTCTAATAAAATTATATAAACTAAATTAAATACTTTGAGATCTCTGTTGTCTGTGGCAGTCTGTGAGAGGAGATTCAGACAGATTCAAGCCAAATCTAACCTGTTAGATTCTCTGCCTTTTTGACCAGCTTGATTTATTTTTTTACTCTAGCAACAGGGATAACTCATTTTTGTCAAGACTTTCATGGAAAGAAGGGATGAAAGGAAGGCTGTATAAGAAAGAACTTTTGGGTTTCCATTGGATGCATACACCAAGATAAAACAGAGAAAAGCGAAGAGTATGATCCTGTTTACAGTATTGAGTAACATTCTGAAAAATTAATTTTCAAAGAATAATCTCTTTTGTGTTCTTGCTTCATAAGTCTCCTTTATATATGCAGACAGTTGACACTGCATTTGTTTTTTTTCCCTAGTGTGTCTTTACTTTACAGAATGAGTCTTTTTAAAGACTGTTGTGTACACTCAGAGAACTGTGAGAGGATGTCACGAGAAGATGGGAAAAGATATAATTAAACCTTGTTATTTCTAGAATAGTAGGTCACCTAATAATAAAACGTAGATTGATCTTCCCTTTATAAAACCTCTTTCTTGCATATGTGATCTTTATATTGGATGAAGGTAGGCATTTCAGCTTCTAATGGTTTTTTCCCAAATGAGCCCTTTTAAACATGAGTAAAATAATTCTAACAGAATAGTCCAAACACTTAAAATGTACTTAAAAAAACAGAATTGCGCAGTACAATTCTTTATGCCTATATATTTTTTTCAATAGAGTATTGTAGAAGTTACAAATATCTTGATTTAACAGGATGTTTTAATAGTAGTGCATTTTAATAGCATTTATATTTTGAATCTTCTTTTCCTTTTTTAAGTCGGCAAAGAAGTAGCTGTAATTCATGTCTTCCTTCCCCCTGCAGTTACTAAAATTCAGATAATATGTGGCCATGGTATAGCAATATGAATAAACAGGAGCATGAGATTTTTATTTTGGGCTCTTTTCTGTAGATAACATTGTATAAAGATAGTATATGAGACAATAAGGAATGAGATTCTGGGAATGATAATGTCTTGTATCCTGTATAGCTATGCATCACATTTTTATGTGATATGATCGTATGATAACAGTAGAGATTCAAGCCAAGAAATGAGTTTCACTAACCATCTTCCACTCATTTAACCATGGTAATATTACGTGGATGTTCTGCTAGATTTAAGTGCATTCTTAAAGATATTATTAATTTACTCTCCCAAGATTATCTCAGTAAATGGGTAGAATAAAGGATATTGTCAGGAATGAAAAGTTGTTTTACAGTTTTTGTGTCTCGATTTCCAAAGGTGAGATAAAGATTTAAGTGTATCCAAGTCTGATAGTAAGTGTCAAAATACTTATTGCATGTCAAAACAAACAAACAAAAACCTCTGTGGAAGTGCAGGTTGTACTGTGTGATTGCATTTCTCTTGTGCTGTAAAGGTGAGACTGTTTTAATTTTCAGAGATAAGCAAAATGCATTTTGTTTGCAGGCACTGATGACATTGTAGGGCCAGAAGGTATGGAGAAATTTTGTGAAGACATTGGAGTTGAACCAGAAAATGTAAGTTTAAAGTCCATTCAAAAGATGCCTAATCTGTTATGATGTACATGAGCCAGTCTTATATCTTTTATTTTTCCATCAAGAATTAAAAAATTCTTGGGAGTTTTTAAAAAAATTGAAGAAACATAAACCAGGGCGGTTTATATACACATATGGAAACAAATTGCCGTTACTTGCAGAGTAATGAGCACCCTAAGATATGTTTGACTATTACTCAGGGTTTTCAGTGTCCTTCCTTATGATGCTAAGATTGTATCCATAAGTAGTAACAACATGCTGGTTACTAGTGATAAAGCATTAAAATAAAATAGAAAAAAAATTCAGCAAAGCTTTTGAAATTACTGTAACGCTGTGCAGCTGTTTTCATGCATCCCTGTATCACTTTGTCACTCCATCACATCCATACCTCAGCAAGTTTGCAAAGTGAGGACAGAATGATGAAAGAAAGTGTTATTTGCTTTACTGAAAGAACACGCAGCCCTTGTAATTCCTTCTACTTTAAGCCATGTTGTGCCTCCCAGTCAAAGGAGACCAGTGTAGTTTAGTTTTTCAGGGGCAAGTCAGAGTGGCTACAAGCTTCCATAAGCTCTTTCTTGATAGAAGGAGGGGACTAGATAGACCATTCCCTCTCTTTGTGTGAGGAAATGGCCTCAGGTTGCACCAAGGGAGGTTTAGTTTGGACTTTAGGAAAAATTTCTTTAGTGAAAGAGTGGTCAAGCCTTGGAACAGGCTGCCCAGGGAAGTGGTTGAGTTACCATCCCTGGAATTATTTAAAAAACGTGTAGATGTAGCGCTTAGGGACATGGTTTAGTGGGCATGGTGGTGTTGGGTTGATGGTTGGACTCGATCATCTTAGAGGTCTTTTCCAACCTTAATGATTCTATGATTCTATTTTAAACCCCAAACTGTCAACCTGTAAAAACTCAATTTGTCATTGCTGCCACCCCTTCTCTTTCACTTTCCCACTCCCCCAAAAAAGAGAGACTTAAAAAAAAAAAAAAGAAAAAAAAAAGCAGCTGATGGTTGTCTTTTCTGAAACAATGAGACAACACTGGAGATTTAATGTAGCAACTACAAAACTACGAAGTAATGTTTTCTTCGGGTTTTCTAGGAGAGAAAGGGATTTCAAATATTGTGAGCAATATTAGCACTGCCATTATGCCATTTCAAAACACAAATAAGGAATATATGCAATTACATACATATATTTTATATGTACATATATATAGAAGTAAATAAAATTTAAAAAGGAATAGTTGTGCCTTTTACAGGCTTTTTCCTAGTGCCTAATTTTTGCTCTTTAAATGTATATGCAAGTCCCATCTTTTGCAGGATTCATAAAACATCATCTCTGACTAAACAAAATGAGAATTGTCATTTTGAAAGACTTACTGGAAATATAAGATGTAATTTGCTAATTTTGGAGTTTATTAGGATAATAAACCCTTGAAATTTAGGCAGACATTTGGATATAGCAGTAGGTATTCTGATTTCGCATTAAAAACCATATAGAGCTGCATTAACATTTGCTAGATAATGGCTGAGTTGCAAATTTAAATTACTTGATTATTTTTTTCTTCTTGTCTGCAGGGTCAGTTGTCCTGCAAGTTTTTTCATGTATATATCAAAAGTGATTTCTTAAGTTCTTGAATAAGATAGTAATCTTATCGTGTCACTTCATCTAAATTCTTTATTGCTTCAGTCTTCTGTGTGAGATGTGAAAAGGAGTCTGTTTCCTTTTGGGCAAAACTGAAGTATTTATGTATCAGCCTCTGTTTTGATGTGTGTTGGTGTTAGTTCACCTAGCTTTACTTAACATCTACTTGAATTACACTGCATGTTCAGACCTGCAAAATCGGGTAGGCTGATGGTACCCTGGGGTAGCTGGATTCAGGTGGGATCATTATTAGCTTTAGAATAATTGGATTTCATAGAGCTCATGGATTCAACTGATGCATCTATATGAGAGTTTAACAAGTGTCAAATGTAACTTGTTGTCAAATTGGTACTTAAATTTTGTAGTTGTTTGGGAAACCTTTTCTGTAGCTCTGCACCAACTCATCTTCCTCATTGCACTGCTCGCTAGATGACTGTGCATGCTCCCTTAAAGTAAGGTGGCCACTGATAACTTGGGTGGATGTTCAGTCTGTATCTTTGCACTGTTATCTTCTCTTTGTTTTGATTATGTACAGTAGAGGTTTATCACTTTCAGGTTTTTTAACTTTTAAAATAGTGTAGTAAAGACCTGAACATCCCATTTATACAAGTAAAGTATTTGTAGCCTACTAAACAGTAGTTACTTGAAAAATGTGTGGATCTTTTTGTTAATTCTTTTCAGTCTTCATTTTTTTTTCTCTTTAAAACAGGTGGTTATGCTTGTACTAGCATGGAAGTTGGATGCACAAAACATGGGCTACTTTACATTACAAGAATGGTTGAAAGGAATGACATCGCTACAGTAAGTGCTTTGAAAAAACTCCTAAGTTTGTTATAGTAAACCCAGTTTTTTAGAAAAAACACGTTTTGATGTTTTGACTCATAACACCTAAAGCAGAGAGCTCTACTGTGGAGTAGAAGCCGTACATTTTTGGTCCTATTTATGGTGATATGGCCACTTAGAGACAACTTGAAATCTGACAGCTACACGTTTAAATACAGTTGGATTAAAATGTTTGCAGTCTCAAGAAAACAGAAATTTCATGATGTTCGACATTGTTTCTGTCTGCAAGGACATCTATCTCTTTGTCTCTGAATTGGACCTATCTATTAGATATCGGTATGTTGTTAATGCATGTGTGGTTTAATACTTTCTGAGACTCTGCATTGTCATGTTTTTTCTAAGAGTTGCTTTCTCCAGTTGAGAGCTTATCTTCCTGGCATAATTAACATAAATGTAGTTGAATAACCATGTTTCATAGAGAGTTGGAGAAAGAACTGTGTTTTGACTTATTCTCCAGAACAGAATCACTAAAACTGTGTAGGAAATTCTATGGTTTCAGCAAAACGATAGAAGTGTGGTTTCACTGCTGTGGTTTGCTGGTTGTTTGCCATGTGTAGACAAGCTCTTAGTTTAATCTATTGGAGAGTGCATTTTGTACAAAGCCAAATAAATTTTTATCAGAGTACCAGTGTAAGACTTTTGCTATTTTATCTAAATCCGTTTTACTCTGTGGGTTTAATCAAGGCATTTATGCAGACAAACTCATAAACATTTCTTTGTACAGAGTGATGTATTTTGAACAGATTGATGGGGATACATGTTAAAGATTCTTTTCTAAAACATCAGACATCTGTATAAGAATACAGACTCTAAATTCACTTTGTGCTTCTCTTGTAGATGTGATACTACAGAAAAACTGAGAAATTCTCTGGATTACTTGAGATCTTTATTAAATGAGCCTACCAATTTTAAACTTATTTATAGATATGCATTTGACTTTGCACGGGTAAGTACTATGGAAGACCAGCGTCTGAAATTAAAACTTTACTTTGATAAGTAATAATTGAAAGACTGTATACTTCTAAGTATGTTTCTCTTAAGATACCGCTCAAGATTGCTTCTAACAAATTGGACTGTTTGTGTTCTAAAAAAGTATATGCAAAATGCCAGAACTGGAAAAGAAAAGTATATAGGATGCTTGATGTTCAGTGGTTTAGTGTTTTGACATGTTTTGTTACGTCTCTGCTTCAGGTTATTTTGTGACTTCAGGGAAATCATTTAGGCCCTATTCTGTTGCATAATGGAGCTTTGCCACTTCCACTGGCTTTATAATTACCCTGGTTTTCCTTCCTACTGTTTGAATTTTGTGAGCATAAACATATTTAAAACAGGAAGGCACTTCAGACATTTCTGCAGGTGGTAAAAATAACTAACATGATAAAAGCTGGATATGATATGATATAATACAAATACTGGTTCAGAAGACTGATGGAAGGTCATTAATGATGTTCTCGGTATTTATTAAACAATATCCTGATATCAGTCTTCCTACTATGAAATATGTATTGGTAAAATTGTACCTGTATTGGAACCCGTAATATGCATAAGACTATTCCTACTTAAAGGGAGCAATAAAAGAACTCTAATTTTCTGAATTAACATTTTGACATGGCATTTGGACATCCATCTTGCTAACGTGATGGAATGTACAGAAGATTTAACATAAAAATGATCACAGGCAAAGCTGAAGCTCAGATTTCAGTACAGGAGAACCAAAAGCACTAAGAAAATTTGCAGCAAAAAGAGTAACATGAGAAAAATAATAATAAGAAATTGAACTGATAGCAATTCTGATAGTTAAGTCTGTCATAAGTAACTCAGGTTTGTGGTACATCAGCATGTCAGCATGCAGAGATTCACAGTAGTTCACTTTTAACCAAGGAAACTTACAGCTGAATATGACAGAATGCGTGATATTAGTTAGTATGAGAGGAAAAAAAGCCAGATCAACATCTTAATTGTTCCTTTGCTGTGTGAAGATTTATTCTGTCAGTTTTGCTCAACGTAAATGCAAAGGCTAGAAATAATTAACATTGCCAAAGAAGTTCAAAATACTGATTAAATATTTGTCATAGATTAAAAAATGTTTTACTAGTAGCAAATCTGCACCAGCCGATGGCCTATCAGAAGTAAGTGCAGAAACTTAGAAAGAGGATTGTGGGTGGAGTTTTTTCAAGAGGTACCAAATTGATGTGACAAATAGCAGTCTTGAAAACGAATTTAAACATTGAGACACAGATGCTGTGACATCATTTGCGACAAAAAAAAAATCCAATTGTAGAACTGCAAGTCAAAGGCATATCAACAGGGCAATTGTCAAAACAATATTAGATTAATAGAATTATTGAACTTTTAATACTATGGAGCAGGGGAAGTTTATAGGAGAGTGGCATCCAGTAAGAATAGAAATGAATGCTGACAAAGGCTGATATATTTACCTAGATGTGGCAGATTAATCTGTGCGTAATTTTTATCAGAGTAATTGAAATGATTAATAGAAAACAGCTGATGGGAGCAGCTTTGGTTTTTGATTCAGAAGATTGTGTAATTTCCATCCTAAGGGTAATCATTTCAGGGAAGTGCTCCATGGCAAAAAACACTTGTCTAAACTTCTGAAGTTTTAAGAAAGAATTTTTGAAAGCATCTGTTGTGATTTGATATTTAGAGTTAGTTTGTCAATAAAAACAAGTATCGAGGTTTTATGCAGCATGCATGATTTAAGTCAGCATGGATTTGAGGAAATAATTTAAAACACCGTATATTGGTTTTAAGCACAAATAGATTCCTCGCTCCCTGTTTGCCATTGTCATTGCCAAGTTTGAGAACATACAGGTGCATGTATTTCATGACTTAAATAGGTCTTTTAGCTGAAATATTGGGGGGGAAAAAGTCTCAGAAAGACTGTCTATCATCAATGTAAAACAAATACTGACGTTTATCGGAGTTTGTCAATATATTCTTTCCCCTGTATCCAAGAAAGAGAGTGTAAGTATCTGGAATGTATATTAAGGATGATACTAGAGCATCTGTCATGGCAGATGTGCAATTAAGCAGTTGGAGGTGGGTATAAAGGGCTTATCTGAACAATTTGTTCTGAACAGTAGTCGGAGGGGGAGAATGTAGAAACTTAACAATGTGAGGCATGTAAAAACAGTATGGCCAAAGTAAAGGCAACAGAGCCTGATTGCATTAACACTTGAGTGTGTGGGAAGAATTCAGAATATAAACAGTATGGAAAATAAAATGTATTCTCACAGCAGTATGATTTCTGCTTAAAGGTGTTTGTGACAGAGGTGTAAAAGGGCTTTGAAAAGAGGATTAGTTTTTAGAACTATTTGATGTTGGAAGTAAGTGAAAGAATTGTATCATATTAATACAGATAAGCCTTTGCAGGTTTGTTTTTCAGCTTTATTACTAATTGAAAACTACAGCTACTTTGTTCATCCTGGAATTTACTTTTTTTCTCTAGATCAGATTGAGTGAAGTCCCTCTTGGATTTAGTGACCAGAATGTAAAACGCTTCTGATGTTTTCAGAGTTGCTGGCCTCCCCATGTTCCTTCCAAAACAAATCTGCATTAAATTCTGTTTATACAATTTTAGAATTGAGGTGTATTTTGTATGAAATGGGTTTCAAGAAGAGAGGGTAAACTTGCGCATTCAGTTGTTGTCTGAGAACTGGGATCTCGCTCTACCACATCCTTCCTACATGATAGAAGACAATTCAGTTATGTTTTGAGCTTGTTTTTTTAATAAAGATGTGTATTCTGTAATACATACAACTGCACTTGTACATGTGAGGCATAGGACTCAATTCCCTTTGTCTTGGGTAGCTGTCTTGCACTGTTCTGTTAGGTACTCCCTGTATCCTGGATATCCGTATATCCCTGTTTTTTCTTAATTTAGACTTTGCAGTCTGCAATCGTCAGTACATACAGAGAGATCAAGGTCTACAGTAGCTAATATGGAACTTTATTTTTTGTGATTTTGTTAATTTCTGAATTTGTAGCTTAATGCTATAACCAAGGCATAAAAGGGTGGGGTTTTATGTCCCATCTCTCACCAAAATTTGTTTAATGTCAAGACAACAAATGTAGATGGATAAACTACTTAAAATAACAAAATGGAGTCTTAAATGTACAAATGTTACTTTTGAGATGTGCAGAAGTTGTGTTAAGTTTCCCACTGATTAGACTAATGAATCTGCTGGGTACAGATGCTGCTGCTTTTTTTTAGCAGAAACAAAAAAATCACCCCTAAGCCTTAATATACTACTGCTACGTTGAACTAAAACTGGGACAGTTGGGGGAGAGGTCTCCATGTGCTAGTGTGTTATGTTCCGCCTGCTCATTTGATCATTAGTTTAATCTGAATTTCATGTAATCAGTAGAATAACAGAACAAAGAACCTATGCACTGACTGCATAGTCAGTGTTACTTGATAGCTACTTAACTATCTACTGATAGTTCATGTAGTTGTAATAATACTACAGGAAATACATGCAGCGATACTGTTTTAAGAGATGTATGGCTATGCAGAGGCATACGTGCAAACATGGGTATGGATCTAATGGCCATTGCTTTCTACAAAGGTCTGAAGTCACAAACAGGACTGTATGCCTCATCTGCAATGGTGGTGACAGTTTTTTGGGAAAGTCTATAGGAAGCAGCATCTCTATAGCAAGCCATTAGGAGGAAGGAAATTTTGCTAGGAAGTTGTATTTTATTAAAAACCACTGTTAGATGCTGCTATTTATTATTTATTTGTTAATTTATTTTGTGTATGGGTGAGCTGTAGTACAGACAGTGGGGGAAGTGAAAAATCCTGAAATCATGCTCTTTTTTCCTTTTTGACCTTTTTCTTTTCATGCAGGAAAAGGACCAGCGCAGCCTAGATATCAATACTGCCAAGTGTATGCTGGGCCTTCTTTTAGGAAAAACATGGTCCCTTTTTCCAGTATTTCACCAGTTTCTAGAGGTATGAAGTTTGAAACAGAATTACATTTTTTTTTAATCTGTCTTCTCTGATACTTTAACTAGAGGTAGAATGAACAGCTAAGAATTTTTTGTTCTGATTTAGAATATACTAGCCCCCAAAGCAGCACTTGTAACTGGTTATCTTTCCTTTCTTCCTCTTCCTCAAATCCCTATGCTGTTAAGGTTTATTTTGTGCAGGACAAAGTATACAATGTATTTGATTTGCTTTTGAAGTTTCGTTTTATTGCTGTATGTTTGTCCGCTAAAAGATGTCTTAATCAGAAACATGAATTACTCAACACTAGTTTGACTACTTAGTGGTTTCTTTAATCGTGTGTAGTTTTAGATGGCATACAGATTAAAATAATAATTCATCACAACCTTTAAATTTTCTGTAAGAAAATCTGAATTTGAGGGAGTTGAAAATATATTTTAGTAATAACTTCTGTTTCTTGCCTTAAGCAGCAATCAAAATACAAAGTTATCAATAAGGACCAATGGTGTAACGTTCTTGAATTCAGCAGAACAATTAACCTTGACCTCAGTAACTATGATGAAGATGGAGCCTGTAAGTACTACCATGTGTTGGTGTTCTAAAATAATTTATATCTCTGAACTTAATCATTCAGTGTCCTTTTACAAAATTTTGTAAAATACAGTTATTTGATCTCTCTACAGGGCCAGTGTTGTTGGATGAGTTTGTGGAATGGTATAAAGGAAAACAGATGACATAGGAGTTTAACTATGCACAGCCACTCAAGAGTCACTGTTACCACAGTTATGTCAACCATTAGCCATAAACTGCTATTTGTATCAAAGTGCATGCTGCTTTTCTTGCACTGCATCCCTTTTGCAGGGAACTTTTGATGTTTGCTATTTAACAAGCTAGCTATGCTTGCTGTGTAGCATTGTTCTCTTTGAAGGCTGCTTTGCATTTTGTATTTACACTACAAATTGGTGAACTTGCCAGCATCTTCACTGTGATTATGTGTATATTGCTGTCTAAATTTTGTATATGTGTATAAAAAAAAAAAGCTTCACCTAGGGATTATTTCTGCAGAAATGTATTGTAAAAATAATTTTGTGGCATATTTCTAGTCATCACTTAACATGTTTGTTGAAACCTTAGTTATTTTGTTTTTCTTTTGGTCTCAAATGTAGCATTTCAGAAAATGAAATGAACAGACTGCTTGGACATAGTTATGTGAAGAACTATTGTCAATTTTAATGTTACCATTTGAGATGCCAATTTCTGAGGGGAGAAGACGTGCTGTGACTTTCTTCACCGGAATTCGCCAAACCTGACCTATTGCTTAATAGGAATGAAACATTGGTGTCTTAAAAAAAAAAAAAAAAAAAAAAAAAAAAAATATATATACACATATAAATATTAAAACACTGTAATAGTTGTACATGCCACAGATGATTTCCATTTGAAGAAAGAAGTACTGACTTTTTAATGTTAAAACTGCAGTAGTCATTACAGGTACAAATGAACAAATTAAAGTACCTTTTAAAAATGGGTTTTAGACTTTCGTAAATTGCCTTTGGCATACTCCTTTTAATTTTGGTGTATCAAGAGTGTTTGGTCTATGTTGCAATCTAGTGAAATTGAAAATTCTAGCTAAAAATAGTGGTTTGGGGAATAAAGTCTGCTCACCCCTAGCACATAGATAATATAGATTTGGGTTTTTTTTTTTGTTTGTAACATTAGTCTTTCCCAGGGTCTCTAACTTTGTGTTTCTAAGTAATTAAAAATGTGATATCGGATAGTCAAAACATTACTTTTTCTTTCATGCTGGGGATTGGAATTTCCTAGCAGAATGTCCATTGCAGGCAATGGGCATGTTAAACACCAGCATTAAATGACAGTACTTTTTAGTAAGGACCACTGCCTATTTCACTCATTTCTTTGTCTGTATAGGACAGTTCTAGTGATTATTTTGGGGAAAATGAGTGAATGCAATGATGTTTAAGTTCTGTAACTTTGTCACGTTGTCTTTGCCTTACCCTTCTTTATTAAGTAATGTTAGTGTTGAATTTTATAAATAGGTCCTTGAAGTATCTGGTGCTATTAAACTTTGACCCCTAAGGATTTATTAAAATGTTCCATATTGATTCATGGAGCATTTAACAAAAAAGGGCCAGTGGATGTTTTGGAACGAATAACAACATTACTTTCTGTAGAAATATTTTACAAGGTATTGGCAGTTTTGATATTTTTCTAGAATGCAATCCAGGGAAAGGGCGGGAAAGCATTCTAGGCTGAATGTGAAATTTTCAGTTGTATTGAAGGTCCTATTCTGCCATCACTGAAATCAGGAACAACTGTCATTAACTTGAGTATTTTCAGGATTAAGCCTAGTTTAGCAAAAGCACATCAGTTTGCTGCCCTGGACCAGGAGGTTGTAATTGTGGTGCTACAGGTGGTCAGTTGTGTTCAAATCTGTTTGTTGTTGTTGTTGGGTTTTGTTTGTCAAACTCAGCTGCCAAAGACAAAAATTGTTTGTGTGTGTTTGTGTATATTTGTATATACGTAAACATACAATATGTGTGCATATACAAAACCTAGAATTTCATGATGCTAAGAAGAAAATACTACCTTTCCCTGTGAAATAGTCATGTTCGTATTTCCATGACACTAAATAGCGCTCTTTAAAGTTAATAGTAGCAAAACATACAGTCATTGCTTTCTCATGTACTAATACGCATAATCTTAATTCCATGTTTGATGCCAGTTTGCACAAGAAATTAATTCAGTGGAGTGTGGTATTTAATGTTTACAATAAGCCTCTTACTAAAACACACATGTTTTATTAAGGCTCCTGATGTAAATGTGTATATTACCATAGTATAACTGTAAGGAAATATCAGTGGAGCTGCTGGTTTAGTTCTTAAAATAATGAACTTAGAAGCAATATAACTTTTAACATTAGGCTGAATTGTGGTTACTAAGATTTTAAGTGAAATGGTGTAACTGTTCTTAAATGTTAAGCTAGTTACTGACTCTAGAAAACTGTTCAGCACAAATTGGCATGAATCCTGCAACAAATACAAAGTTCGCATAAAAGGTTTTGTATGTCACAAATAATTTGGCTTCCAGTAATGGAAGCAAGAGCCAAAGACACTTTTAATCTATTACTGTTACAGGTATAACTTTCATATAACAGGGTCAACAGAAATCTGTTTAGCTCAACCAGGTGCTCTTTTTTCAAGTTTTGCTATCATTTAGCAGAATACAAAATTTAATTAAAAGCAAAGAAAACAGCAGAAAAGAAACCTCAGAAAGTACTCACACTGTAAGTACTTCAAGTACAAACTCTTGTAAGTAAACAAACTCTTCATTTTTTCTTTGGGCAAAAGTAATCGGGAGTGATGGAAAGGAAGAATATGGTTGGAAATTAATCAGATAGATGCTGCAAATTTTTTTTCTTCCACTTGCAAGCAGGATGAATCTGTAGTTTTCGGCTGGTTTATAAACATGCATCTTCATAAAATAAACCACAAATTCAATTACACCTAGTGGACAGCTTTACTGACATTTATAGAGAACAAAGGGATCAAAATGGACCTGTACGGCTTGATAAGCTTCCCTGTGCTACCCATCCTTCTGTTTTTGCTATATGTGCTGATAAGCAGAGGATCCTAACATTGCCAGCTCTTGTATTTTGGAGAAATTCCCTCTCATTTTTAAATAATTGTGGAAACTTAACTAAGCTACTCAGTTTACGTTGTATTTAGTACAAGTTTGGTGTTTGCTTTTTTGTTTGTTATGCCATGTTTGTTATGCCTGATTCCAGGGGATCGGGCCCAGCCAGCACAGGT